GTTGTCCCTTCGAGCTCTAGTCGATTGTGGGGCGTCCAACAATTATGTGCAACGACAATCGCTAGAAGACGGTCACTTTAAGTTCAGTGAATGTGACACACCTCCAACGAGGATGACGGTACGTATTGCGACAGGCGCATCCATAAACCGTCATGAAGCGTATAGTGAAGATCCACTATACGCTAGAAGATACCCAATATGACGATGACTTTATCGTATTGGATTTGGATGACAAATTAGATGTCATCCTTGGAATACCGTGGCTCAGAAGGTATGAACCACGGGTAAACTGGCAACATCGAACAGTAACGATGCCTACCGCTTGTTCATCAGATGGCCATCTGATGAACGTTTTGGAGCGTCCACAAGCGTGTGGATGTACTACGAGTGAGTGCGATGGCCTCACTTGTGGTACGGTCGTTAGTACGACTGCACAAAACCTTAGTGTGACAAACGGTTACACTTCGGAGCAAAGTTCCGGCGGCTGTGAGGAAACACAGGCTGCGCCGAAGGTCCACCACTCGAATAAGTCGGGTGGACTGGGACAAAGATGTATCCCTAGCGGGGAACATCCAGAAGAGAAACAATCGATCGCTCAGGTTAAGCGAAACGATATTCCTAGATCGAATGGAGAGTCTTTCGTAGAGGATCTCGCTGTGGTTGCGCAACCCCAGCTAGAGGAAGTAAAGGGAATAAGTCCCAAGATTACAAATACGGCCGAAATAAGCTCCCCGAAACCCGCGGGAATAAGTCCCCGGGAAGCCGAAGGAATAAGTCCTTCGAGGCCTGAGGGAATAAGTCCCCAGGAAATGACAGAGACATTGAATGTCATAGTCAATAACGGATCAAGTGTAGGCGCTTATACACTTGATCTGATTGCGCCTCCGAAGTTGACTTCGGAGATCACTCAGTTGCCAACGATCGAACGTAAAAGGTTCTTGCGTGATCTGCGTAGTGACAAAGTCAAGCAGATCTGCGTACTCGTCGCTGACGACGAGTGTGTAACCGACATAAGGTCAGCAACAGTGTTCACTGAGAACGAGAGAGTTCTCAGTAGTTCATCTATGGACGAGAGTGTCCTAGATGAAAAGACACGAGTTGAGCGATATGACTCCCAATCGTGGGAATCGCTCAAGACAAATCCTCTCTATGAAGATTGGGTTGAATTCAAGGATGTATTCCCTGAAACTGTTCCGTGCGAATTACCGAAGGATAAAGGTATTCGACACGAGGTCGAGCTTAAACCAGGCTCGAAGTGCTGTGTCATGAAGCAGTGGACACTGCCTCGTGAACAAGTACTTGCGATCGACAAGTTCTTTGCCGATTGTTTAGCTGCGGGCCATGTGAGGGAATCAACTTCCCCACATAGCTCTCCGACCTTCTGTGTGCGAAAAGCAACAGGAGGGTGGCGGATAGTGCACGCGTTCAACAAATTGAACGCTGCAACGGTACCGGCTCAGACGCCGATACCGAGGAAGGACGTAATCATTGATGGTATGTCAAAGAGTACCATCTTTTCGTCCATGGATTTGATGGATGGCTTCTATCAAATCCTTATGCGGGAACGGGATATACCCTATACCGCAGTAAGCACGCCTAGCAGCATGCTCTGGGAATGGCTAGTAATGCCACAAGGGCTCAGTAATGACCCTGCCACGTTCAACAGATGTGTATCACATCTGTTGAGACCAGTACGAGAATTCGCGCCGAGTTATTTCGATGACGTATTCATCCATAGTCGAGCTATGGATGGAAAGTCGGACGTTGAGGTTCACAGGTACCACGTCCGACAGGTTCTTACAATCATGCGAAAGCATCAATTGTATGCAAACCTCAAGAAGTGTATATTTGCCGCAAGCGAAATACCACTTCTTGGGTGCATCGTTGGTAAGAACGGTGTACGTCCTGACCCCGAAAAGATCGAGGCGATCACCGACTGGCCTGGGCCGGTTGATGTCAAAGGTCTTCGAAAATTTCTTGGGCTAGCGGCGTATTTGCACAAGTATTGACGCAATTACGCCGAGATGACTGTACATCTCTCTCGTTTGTTGAAAAAGAACGAGAGGTGGTTATGGAACGCTGAATGTCAACGCTCCTTTGATGGTATCAAGCAAAGCTTGATACAATTCCTAGTCCTAGCAATAGCCGATCAGGACAGGCCATATCATGTGGTCTGTGATGCCAGCGATTTCACAATCGGCTGTGCATTAATGCAGTACGATCTTGAAGGCGTTGAACGCGTCGTCTGCTATCAGTCGCGTCAGCTGCAACCAGCTGAGCGGAACTATCCAGTGCATGACAAGGAACTCCTTGCCATGAAGTATGCACTCGCGAAGTTCAGAGTCTATCTATTAGGAGATCGACCCTTCATTGTTTACACTGACCGTGCGTCATTACGCACGGCAGTGAACAGCCCGCACCTTTCACAACGAATGGCGCGGTGGTTGTCATTCTTTGCAGAATACAACTTTACGGTCGAGTACAAACCAGGACGACTTAATGTCGTCGCTGATGCACTCTCACGTCGTCCCGACTTTGAAACAGTCGCGAAACCCAACAGTGAGACAGTCACTGTTGCGGTTATGACGTCCTCAGTTCCATCTACAACGTTGTATGATGATGTGAGGCGGGCATACGCCCAAGATGGTGAGATAGTGAAGTTGTTGTCACATCTCTCCCAACCATCTCGAGAATCGTTGAAACGATTGTCGTCTGCGTATCGATCTGCATCAGATCGATACACTACTCGCAACGGTTTACTGTTTACACAACCGTTACTGGTGACAAACCACGTGTTATCATCCCAGATGATTATGATCTGCGTTTGCGGATCATGTTCGAGTATCACTATGCTCCTATAGGAGGACATCGTGGCCGGGAGAAAACATATATCACGGTGAGTCGAGACTTTTACTGGCCCCGCCAGTATCAGTTTGTGCGAAAGTATGTTCGCGCATGCGAAGTCTGTCAACGAGTGAAGTCAAGTCCTTCACTGCGTGCACCTCTACAGCCTCTACTGGTTCCGGCTGAGTGCTGGGAATCCATCTCAATGGATTTCGTCTTCGGGTTACCCAAAGACGCACGCGGGAATACGGGTATTCTCGTATTTGTTGATAGATTCAGCAAAATGGTACACCTTGTGGCTGTACCAGAGTCAATCACGGCAAGTGGCTGTGCTTGTGTCTTTATCGACACCATCTTCCGACTTCATGGGTTGCCCTGTGAACTCGTATCAGACAGAGATCCACGATTCACTGCTGATTTCTGGCGCTCCGTGTTCGAATCACTCGGAACGCGCTTGAAGATGTCGACATCTGATCATCCAGAGTCAGATGGTCAGATGGAGCAAGCCAATCGTGTCCTCGAAGAGATACTTCGAGGATACGTACACTCCTTTAAGAGTTGGAGTGAGTTCTTGCCAATGGTAGAGTTTGCCATTAACAACTCGGTGCATGCAGCCACGACACATACTCCGTTTTACGTGATTGGATTGTGCCATCCTCGTGTATCCACCTTACTCGAGTGTAACTCTGGTTTAAGGGGGGAGAGACTCGCGCGAGCAAACTCGATTTGGTTCACGCTCATCACGCTCTGACGATGAGTTCATTGCTTTTAATGCCGATATCGACAACATCGATATCGAAGAAGATGATGCCAGTGAGAGCGTAGAAGCCCTCACTGAAGAATAGGTTGATGTCGCTGAAGTGCACTCACAGCGCACTGAAGCTAACGAGTCATCAGATGAGTTCATACTGGCTCGTGAAACGGTAGTCCGTTTTGTGCAAGACTCCATCGCCGAAGCGGTGGATAAGCAAAAGCAAAACGCTGACAAGAATGGAAGGGCAAACACTTTTTTTTTAATAAAGGTGACTTAGTCCTACTGTCTACGGTTAATCTACCAAAGCACGTAGTGACTAACTTGGGTAGCAGTAAACTACTACCCAAGTACATCGGCCCATTTCGGGTATTGCACCGCCTAGGCAACGCATACACGATCGAATTGCCACGTAAGATGCGAACGCATCCCACGTTTTACGTTGGTCGGCTTAAGCCGTACCATCAGTACGCTGCTTCTTCCGATGAAGAACGCCCTTGCGCTCAAGCATCTCACAAAGAGCCTTGTGCTCCCGATGGTGGCCATCGACAAGGGTCTGAAGAGCAGTTATCTCAGCCCGAGACCGGTCAAAATCCACACGAGCAACCCTTAGCTCGTCACGCAGAGATGTCAAAGATCTTTCGTTCTCAAGCTGAGAAAAAGCATACTCAGCTCGATGCTTCAAGACAATGTCCGCCAGTTGAAGGCGCCTGTCCCGCTCATGTTCGAGATCGCCGCGTAACCCTTGCGCTACGCGATCAAAGAAGCTCTCGGTAACACACGCTCCCCCACAATAGTTTGGAGAGCGTCTTTCCTCCTCCTCCACCTCCATTGGAGGACTCTCGAGATGGCCAGGGCTATCTGGTTGAGCGGCTGTTGAACCACCGTGATGTGAACGGACGTCGGACGAGTTACCTCATCCGGTGGCGCGGCTATCCCCCGTCCTGGGATACTTGGGAGCCCCGCTCCCAACTGATGATTGACGTACTGGGTCTGGTTGAGCAGTACGACGCGGCACATCCTGTACCGCAGAAGGACCGCCGGAGAAAGTCTTCCCGGCACGGTCGTAAAGGGATTTAAGGTTGTCAAGTCCTTCGTACGTCTCACTAGAGATACGTACGCGCCACCACGGGCTAGTAAGGAGGTAAGCCTCCTTAGGTGCGCGCGCAGAGTTGTTTACACAACAAGGGCACGGGTGTCCCCAGGAGAGACAGGGTAATCCTTTCTCCCTAGACAGACGATGCAGCTTATAGCGTGCACCTGTCGGGGTTCTCTTTTCAAACTTATCACGAGCTTTGATAAGTTTGTTGTTCCAAACGTCACGACCTACATCCTCAAGGTTATGGATGTAAGCGTTCCACGCTTGAAGCAGTGAGGGACCATCACTTTTGTGATTCCCACTGTATTATCGATGCTTAAAGAAAGCATCGATGAAGAACTCATGTTCAGTGCGATAGTTTTTCGCACTGGGGTCAAGTTGATGGATCCTTAACGAATCGAACAACCGTGTACGATAGCAATCACTCGTCGTCGCCGACAAGTGATCCATGACGGATTTGGGAGGCATCCATACCTTCTTCTCGGGGGCGAGACGCAACACATTGCGGTCCCGCTCTTCTTGCGACGTGCCGACAGAAGGACTGGCACCTCGTTGCGGATTGGTGTCAATAGGAGAACCGACAGCACTGTGAGCGCCCGAGTCTCGCGACCTCGAGCGCCTTCGCTTCAGCGATGGTTCAAACATTTCATCAGATGAACCAAAGATGCTGCGACGCATAGCATCATCCATGCAACGCTTGGCAGGCGGCTTGGATTCGGTCGCCGTCGATACGGATCCGTCTTCCGTATCAGGAGAGTATGAGACACCGAGCTCATACTCTGTGAAGACACGAGTGTCTTCATGACCAGCGCCTGCATCACCAGGTGATACAGGCTGAGTCGCTTCAGCAACCGATGAGACATCAGTTGCTGTGGTTTCTGCTTCGGCGTCCGCACAGAGACGTGCGGACGCGCTCTCGGCGGCCTTGCTCGCGCATCGCATGGTCTTGTAAATTATGCGATGAAACGTTGGAAAGTGGACTCAGACCAACAAGTGCAAACCCTGTCCCAAATGATTTGGGACGAGTATCCATTTAGTCAATCAGTCACTAAAGTGACTGATGGTTAAGGGGGGGTGATGTAACGGGGTAAATCGTTACATAACAATTTATAAGAAATTGTTAATAGAACATAACTATTAGAGTTATATTCTCAGAATATTGTCATAAGGACAAAAAAAATTCTGTAGCACTTACGAGTAGTTCCTAATTGGTTGATATAGGCCATTACATCAACTAACGAAGACGCGCCACGACAGACGCACGCAACGAGTGGTGAGCAGATAGTTGATATGCACATTTGTATTCAGACATAGTTAGATGAGGATAAACAGTGGTTTATTAACAGACATTAACTATTATAAATACAGTTCTACTTTTTACTTTAACCAAGTACTCGCTTCTCCTTACCGTCTTCCTCTGCACGTACGAGTGTACGTGAAGTTCCGAGGCACCGCCTTATTCTGTCATCAGAATAAGTAGCTTGTACTGTCATCAGTACAAGCTTCAGGGTGCCCCGTTACAGTATCCTTGTCAAGGTGCTTACTCTTGTTTAACTAGTAGTAACTACTTAGTGTTTGATTCTGTGAAACGTATTCTCTTTGAAAGCGGCATTTTTAAGCTTGTACGTTTGAACGACTTTACGTGGGGGTTATTTTTCTGATAACTGAGAGAGTCTTTGAGTCCAATCCTTTTTTACTGAGGAGAGCTAAGTAGCTCCGATTCTGTCGTCGCGTTAAAAATTTCTATCTTCAAACAGCTTTTTTAAGTGCTGCGCTCTAAGAAAACAATATCCCAAGTCGCAAGAAGCTCGCAGATGATTTGTTTAACAAGTGATTCATTCGGATAGGGAAACTTTGACGTTTGCATGAAAGGCGCTCCTTTATTTCTGATAACGGATGGCATTATGACATCAAGAGCGACCTAATTATCAGAGACACCACCACGTCTCCTACATTTTGCTTATTCCTCGAGCCAGTATTTACTGGACAGCAAGTTCAAAGCTTCTATTGCATCGCGCAGGGCAAAACGTGCGTATTAAAAGCAAAGCGGTAAAGCGCTAGACGTTAAAAAGCAAATCCATTGTGTTGAGGCACTTATTTCGCAAGATCTTTGACTACTCCAAGCCTACTGGATTGTTCGACTGCATATTCGTAATCTCTATATTGCGAATTACTAAGCATTCAGACGCTTGTTCTTCATCACCCCTTCGAGCATGAAATTGTCCGAACGTACCTATAGGTTTCCACTCTCTGGCCGAGGCGCTTCTTCGAAAACCTTCCCACTCGACTTGGCAGGCCTTGGCACCTGGTCCCAACCTGTTCGGAAGTCTCTGAAAGTGAACGACGGTGATCGGATTGGTCATTATATCGGCCTTCATTTACTAGTTTAAGCATAACATTAATAGTCCTCTAAAAACTTCTTCACGAACAAAATGGTAGCGAATGTCGATGTTCTTGGTGCACTTGTAAAATTCTAGGTTCTTGGCCAATGCAAATGATCCTTGGTCGTCTGCGTGGATCTTGACAGCTCGCTTACTCACCATATCACCAAGTTCGCACATAAACACCTTCAACCAAGCTGCTTCTTGTGTAGCCTCCAAAATCGCCAAGTACTTTGCTTCTGTTGATGACAATGCCACTGCTCGTTTCTTCTTACTTTTCATGGTGATGCAGCTGTTGTTTATCATAAACGCGTATCCACTTTTTCTGCGCCTTGACTCTATGTCTCCATCCCAGTCTGCATCTGAGTAGCCGTGAAGGCTGTCGTCATCTCTTGCATGAGATATAATTTTTGCATGTCCTGGTGCCATTTTTAAACCGAAAAACACTCTTGAGTGCTTGCTATTGTGTTAAACCCGGGTCGGAGGCAGACTGTGTGAGCACTTTTATTGTATATGCGAGGTTAGGACGGATGCCTGCTATGAGGTACATGAGGCAGCCTAAGGCGTTCTGGTAGGGAGATTTTGCCATCGACTCTTCATGCTTGCAAATCCCATCCCACTTGGCCTTGGCAAACTTCAGTCCTGGGTCTTGTGGCGACCTGAATAAATTAATATTCAGCAGGTTGAATTTCTATATATGTCTTACGCGAACAAGCGCTTTCGTGATGACAAAGTCCCACCTATTTCGTCCCGCTCAATCTCTACTCAAGGAAAAACTTGAGCTGAACCATGTCTGTCATCTCAAACCTCTCAGTGCACATTTGACTTCACGAAAAAGCTTGTTTCTGCTGCTGGCAATGATTAAATTATCAACGTAGCGCCACTAAGACTGCTCATCTCGTTGAAATATTTGCAATTATTGGACTCTCATTTTTAGACTCCGATCTTAAACATGAAATATTCGATAGTCTTGTTCCACATCGACGGTGATCTTTTTAGTCCGTACAGTGACCACTGCAATTGTAGACGAGATAATCGTGACTGTCGATGTAGCCGTCCATTTGCTCAATTTAGATGTATTCATCCAGCTCGCCGTTTAGGATCACGGTCTTAACATCTATCTGGTGCACATCAAGGTGTTACTTTACTGCCAGACTGAGAATAATTATAATCGTCGTGAAGTAGGCAACTGAAGCGAATGTTTACTCCTAGTCGATGTCGATCTTTTGTAGGAACGGCTTCGCAACAAGTCGCACTTAAGAACGCTCGATCTCACCATAACGAATTTTCCTGACGTGAAACACCCATCTGCAGCCGAAATTTTTCCGACCCTTAGGTAATTATACTAGCTGCCATGCCTTGGTTCTGCTGAGGGAGTCGATTTCCGAGTAGCACGCTTTCTCCAATTTGACCGCTTTATTGGAAATCATCGCCGAATAAAACGTTGTCAGCATTTTCTTCACTGAATCTAAAGCGCAGGCTGTCTCAAAGTAATCCTGGACTTTTACTACTACTTAAGTTTTCAGAGAAACATTTTCCGACTCTTCCGCTTGGAAAGCGAAATCTCCACCGCTTTTTTTAACGAACGAGTTCGCGGATGGCGCTCACTGCCAAACTTTATATCTTGGCCTTGCACAGTGTCTTCTATGTCAGTCTGAATTGGTATGGAAGACAGATTATGACCTGTACTATCATCTCCTGAAAATATCATGGTATCTTTTGCTTCTCCTGGAGTGCGACTCCTACCGTCGAAGACGTCTTCCATGAGATTCGCGTCGCGACTCACTAGCAAACGACGACTCTTGATGTCTTATTAGCGATACGCATTATCGTGCTCAGAGTATCTTATAAAGAGGTAATGCACTGACTGCGCATCGAACTTGGTGCGCTTTTGCTTTGGGACCGTCACCTACGCGTGACAACCGGACACCTTCAAATTTAGAGGCAGTAGATTCTTGTCAGTACATCTAGACTTGTGGCAGGTGTTAGACATCATTTTCAAATGCATATAGCGGTTACGACCGCTTTGCTACAATACTCCTTGGTTAATCCGGCATGCTCTTACCTGCAGCAAGCGCATTCGGCCAATGTACTGTTCATTATTTCTGCCACTCCGTTGAGTTGAGGTGTGCATGGAGGCATTAACCTCTGTACAATGCCACAACTTCTGCGTAGCTTGTTCATATCACGCGACTTGTGCTCTCCGTTGTTGTCACTGCGAAGTAGCTTGACGCGGTTGCTAGTCTGCGACTCTGAAAATGCGACGAATTCGGCAAGTTTGACAGACACTTTAGTCTTCTTTTTAGCAAAAAAATCACACAAAAGTGTGAATTACCATCAATGAACGTTACAAAGCATCTGCTGTCAACAAATGAACTTGTTTTCATAGGACCACATACTTCGCTGTGGATGACTTCTAGCATCTTCTTTGTACGGTCTGGAGATTTTGGCATACTACTCACTCGTGTCTGTTTGCCAAGAGCACCCTCTTGAAACGCATACCACTGCTGCACAAGCGTGGTGTTGATACCAATAAAGAAGCACTTCTCGACGATGAAATTTAGATCTCTGCTTCCAGTATGGCCAACTCAATGGTGCCAGAGGTACGAGCTGGTGTTTCCATAAGAAGTGGTTAAAAATGAAAAGTTTGCCTCGTCTGGCATGAGCGATGCCATGCATAACTTGAACAATCCTTTCCTTGCACGGACGCAGCTGCCACTTCGCACTCTTCGCCTGAGCAAAGCACCCGTCACCCTTAAATGTGACGGGATCGACGTCCTTCGTTTAGAGCCCTAAAGAGAACAGATTGCGCGCCAACTTGAGGATCTATTTAGACGCCGGTTAGCACACCTTTCTTGGCGCCTTGTTTGGTTCTATTTGATACGGTGACGTCTTCTTTTCTCACTGATTGTTCCACACCGTCACCCACTATTTGCACATCCACTGGCAAGATCTTCTGGTAGTTCTTCATGCACTCTTTGAGTACATCATGTGCTGAGTCGCACCCACGACGACCGGCCATGCTCCACTTGGCTTGTTTTTTTCTTCGTTCACTGCTAACGGGAAGTATACAGAGTCTCTGTTAACCTGCGTGACGCTTGCTCTTTGCGACCTATGCCGTTTCGCGTTCTCGCGGATCCTCACTGGGCACTTGGCAATACAGTGTCCTTGCTCGCCACAGCAGTGAAACTCACTGGCCTTCTACAAAAGACTTCCTCCATTTCTCTTGCTGTGATCGCTTGTCATGAACGCTTGACCTTGATCGTGTGCGGCTCCGTCAACGCCACCACCTCGCGCTTAATATCTTAATGCATCAGCCGAGACGTCACGAGCTCCCACGACAGCGATCCGGCACTAGACTCCAACGCCATGATAAGGAACTAGTACGACTCGCTTAGGCCACCAAGAAGCGCTCTCACCAAGTCTTTCTCTCTGACTGGAGCGCCGATCGCATCGAGGGGCTTCGCCAGGGTATTGATCTTGTTGATGTGCTCCAAAACATCATCACCTTCACTTATACTTTTCGTGAAGAAGCGTTGATATAGAAAAAGCTTGTTCGCCAGACTTTCTTCTTGTATTGCCTACCAGTCCTGACCATGCATCGTGCGCTTCAATCACCGAACGGACCAGCGGCAGTTGCAAATCTTCCATTGCGAGATAGATGATCGCCAGTGCCTTGTTCGACTTTCTCTTGAACGTTGATCGATCCATCGCATTAGTGCAGCGGTTCAGCATGAACTCTCCACTTGTGACTACCCACAGGTCGCACTCTTTCAGAACCATATGCATCTTAAGCTATCATGTGTGGAAGCTGATCCGGTCCGTCAAAACTTATTTAGCGAACGGTCGGGGTTAAGGCGGCGTCCATGACGAAGGCATAGTCGGAGTCTCCGTTTGAATAAAGGGGATTGGTCTAAAACCTAAAAGACAAAGAAGTTGAGCAATTGACGGTAAACGCAAAGAGAATGCATTGAGTTATTTAGTCCATTTTCTTGCTATATTAAGCCTTCTGGCTTCTTCAACTGCACAATCGTAATCACTTCGTCGCGCATTAAAAATTTTACATTTGCGGAATAGCAATCGCACATCTCGCATTACCAATAGTACAGTCGCGTGTCAGTAATCGCACAACGCGCATTACTAATCGTGCAGTCGCGCATTAGTCAGCACCCCTTCGCGCATTATTAATCGTGTAAACGTACCTTTCGGCTCCCACTTTTTAGCCGAGGCGCTTCTTTGACAAAATGAATTAGATCACTACAAGCTGTCAACGTTTAGGACAGTGACAGGCAAAACTTCGGCGAATGAGAATGCCCGACAACAGCTCATCAAGCCGTTCCCATCACGAAACTTCATAAGCTGTTGCTCTATTAAATACCATCTTTTTGTGAAGGATGTTCTCCGCGTCACAATCCGGGAAAATTAACGATAATGAGGCGACGCATCCTGTGGAATATTCACTTCTGGACATGCTATCTTTCATCCTGTGTATACAATCTGGTAGAGGTTTACCACAATTTTAATTTCGTGAAGGCACTTCTACAAGAGGCGCAGAAGGGTGATTCCTAATTTTCACTCATTCGACCCGCGCCCACTCGTTGCGGGATTGTTCAAGCCGTGTGTGCGTCGGTGCGCATCCAGACGCCTGATTCACAGCATCGTTAGCGCTCGCGAGTTTGTCGTCGGTTCGTCTGCGCAGAAGACTGAGCGACAGAAGATCAAGGATATCGTCACCGGCAATGACTTCGGCTTGAAAATGAACAAGGCCATGGCCATTAATAATCCTATGATGCACAAGTTGTCAAATACCAGTTTTAAAGTGTCCCAATTTCAGCGGTTTGCCGAATTCTCATGCCAGTTCGGACAGGTTCACTGCTATCAGCAAACGAACAGTAATCACTCAGCTGGAGCTACATTGTTTGACGAAAAACGCGGCTTTTCGCTTTCAATTCATTTGTGGTGTAGCGCACGTTCTGTCCTATTTCCCCGACCCTCGCCTTCTCGGTGATAGTTTGCCGCCGCCCAATTCTCGTGAACTCAAAGACAGCTTAATTACACTCCCATCGATGAGACCACGTCCGTTAACGACACTAGATGGATGTCTTTGTACACCGGATTGACTAAATTCTCTATTTTGGCGTGGCAAGGGAATGCTACGAACTCATTCCAATTTTTTGGGGTTGACGAAAAATTCGAAGACGCCACTACAAAAAACTAGCCGACGGATGGTTTCCAATGGCCAAATCTGCAGCCCATATCAGTCTAGCTATGCTCGATGGCAACATCCAGAGCTGCATCTGAACGCCAGTTCTCCACAATGGCATTCATCCTCTCCATTCTTCGTAATCCACTTAGCGTGGCATCATTTGAAAAGATCGTCTTTAGTGAGAGCAACATGAGCGCCTTCCACGGCATGCAGACCGCGGAGTACAATTTATCGGATGAAGAAGGCGACTCCAGCAAAAGTGATTAATAAAACCAGAAACATCTTGTCCGAAAATCGCTTTATTGGTTAAACTAAAAACTCGATGAGTCTGCATAAAAATCGGTTTTTTTTTCACCCTTGGTTTGAACACCAATCAGGTTTACTCTTGTGCTTTCGTGGCGGGTGCGACGGTCTCGTCGCCTTTTACGATAATGACAATTGGACCTCGCGGGAGCATAAATTGAGGCATTCCATATTATTGACAATTCCTCAACCAGGAGTGTATGAATTATTTGTTGGCGGTTGGTCTATGAAGCATTTTGTTGCGGAATGTGATACCTGATGTCATCATCTAGGAAGCACGGACGATCATGACGGCTTCAGAAACACGATATCTTTCCAGCGTTGGCGCTTTTGAAGTTGTGGAGCTTGTTTCCCTCTGATGAGTTCGTATGGGTCCCACCGTCATGCCCGAGGTCAGCTCCGGTCCTTTTCTGTAAACTGTTAGTCTCCGACTGAACGCCGTATCTTGCTATTAAGTATTGGAAGCAATTAACTTATCCGTTAACCGATAGATAGAATATAGAAAAGTATGCTGTGGTAAGAGACAGACGATTTCAGCTCATTGCCGCTTTATAACAGCATTAAGAAGTCACCGCGTCAGGCAAGAATGCGGACCGGGTGAGGGAAGAAATAGCGTGCGATATTCGCTACACTTTGATTGTTTGGAAAAGTCAGAAGCTTAAACAGTTGTGTGCTAAAAAGCGAGAACCCTAAGAGCAAGAACGAAAAGAGGAAAAACATGATAGCTGCTGAATATTGATTGCACATTGCTGGACAAGGAAGATGAGGACCGAGATCCCGCTAAGGGAATAGAATTGAGATCGCCAAGGAGTCAAAACCGTGCAGGGAATAGATTGTGTAGGAAAATAAAACCGAGACTATGCTAGAATATTGAGACCCATGTTAACTGAAGGTGAATGGGAGCATGTAGCCGGAAATTGACGTGCTTCGACTACCACTTAATAAACATGGTGTTGGAAGTTACTGCACACATCGTCACAACTGCTGTTCTGATGGAGCAGCTATCTACACAAAAAGGATTACCGCAGCTCGCACAAAGCGAAGACAGGATAACGTAGCGGTGCTGAATGCAATCGCATCCTGACCATTTTTCAAAATTTGTACTGTGGCATATTGATTTGTGACTTTTTCGACAAGGAATTACAATCATGGATTGTTGCCATGAAAGATGGAGTCGCTGGCGTTAGCTCGATCAGCCGTTTAGCATGTCGTAGCTGCTATATAAGACAGTGGATGGATTTGCACATTTCAACGCATCTCAGCGTTAAATAGCACAAAAGTCGGTCATGCACCTATTGATGGCTTCCCTTTTGCACGATCGTATTTATGACAGCACATTCGGGATGGCGGCTTCTTCCAGTACAGCGAGTGCGGCAGATATTCTGCTTTGACATTTTTCGGACGTCAAAGGACAGTTGAAATGCGTGGACGTAGTGCCTAGTAGATACAGACAAGATCTTGAATCCGCAAAGGGAGACGAGGAGCCCCGGACAGCGCAAATACTCAGCAAGTTCTAGACGATAGTTTCATGACAAGTAGTGATTGGAGCTGAGATCACTCCAACATGGCACGATATTGACAGACTTTCTGGTGACGGCTGCTTCCGCCACTTTGTACCAACGCTGGCGAGCAGAGAAGTGTGTCGATATCGAAGACAATATTCTTAATTCGTAAACGAGACTAAAGCCTAATATGTTCCCGTAAATGTTGCGGGCTAATTTTCTCGTCATACATGCATACATACATACATACATACATACATACATACATACATACATACATACATACATACATACATACATACATACATACATACATACATACATAATAATAATAAACATACATAATAATAATACATACATACATATAAAAAATAATATAATACATACAAAAATAAACATAATAATAATAATAAAATAATAATACATACATATAATAAAATAATAATAATGAAAATAATACATACATACATACATACATACATACATACATACATACATACATACATACATACATACATACATACATACATACATACATACATACATACATACATACGTATGAGGTGGAAATATCCGGGCGAAATGAAAACCAGCGATGCTGAGGCCGTACATGCACGTCTCACTTGAAGACTGATGATTTGGTAGAACGATACAAAAGACTGACGCGCAAACGTATTTTCTTGGGATGGTGAATTTATATTTGTACCCGTGTGAGAGGCTTTGGACGCGCACCTGAGTTCTTCAAGGTCTCATTTAATCATACTTGTCAAACGAGATGTACGATGTGTTTATCATATTGTCGTGTGGAGCATTGACACATCCAACAACTTCACCAATCCGATGGGACAACGAAAACGCTTATCGTACAATCACCTCGATCAAGAAGCGGCATCTACCTTGGAAGAGTCACTGGATGGACGGCTAAAACTTAGTTTCGCGTCACAAGTTAGTGGAAGCCGCCTCAACCGTCGGAGAAAGTTCAGGTACTACAACGCCGGGTGTATATGATGTCCATCCGGGTGGTATCGACGTCCAACCAGGATAATGTGAGCCAGTCGGTGATTCTACCACGCCGGGTGTATGTGATGTCCAGCCGGGCGGTATCGACGTCCAGCCAGGAGGATTCGAGGTCCACCTGGGCGGCAGTGGCGTCCAACCTGGATAATGTGAGCCGGTTAATGGCATCTCTGTTGCTGCCGCAACCTCGCTTGGCCTGACTGTGGCTGGAAGACCCGGAGTCACCATGTTCGCAGATGATAATGGAAGGGATGCAGCGGTAATAGCTACATTGCTGTCAACCTCGATCGTAGGAACTGGTGGGGGCGATACTTTGACTTCAGGCGACAAGGTCTTGAATGTCGCGGTAGTCGTTGGGGCATTTGTGTCATCTGTCAAGGAGGCAGAAGTAGTGGGTGCATTCTTACCAGCCTTGGGAAAAACTGAGTACAACGCCGTGACATCTGGCGACAAGGGCTTGGATGTCGTGGAAGTCTGTGGCGCATTCGTGTCCTCCACCGAGGAAGCTACAGTCGGGTGTGCTGTCTTGGCACTCGTAGTGGTAATAGCTAGAAGCTTCGCGTTTGACTTGGATGGTGGTACTTTCACAACATTCGTCGAGCTGGTAGGACTTCCGCGGGATGCTGCGTTATAAAGAGCCCATGAGCGTGTAAGACCATCGTCCATTGTTGCTGTCGCAAGCTTCGCTAGTGCATCCGCTTGATCGATGACAGCTTTGTTCACAAGCAACAACGACAACCAGGTATTTGTGACGTTGTTACTCTTGACAATCATCTCCTGTGACAGAATGTCGTCCCATTCTTCCTTGATAAACGTGGCCGAACGGACAAGTCCATTGATAGGCGATACTGGGATCATCTGGATGCCGTGGATACAGTACTTCTCGGCACTGAACCACGTCGCGTAGTCAACCTTGTTGTCAAAATAGATTCCCGTGACATGATTTGGTATGAATTGGCGAGGATGGATCGTACTGTCCGATGTCATGAGGAAATACGTGCGCACAGCACGGGCATTCAGGCGCATCATGAGGCTACCTAGATCCTCAACGTCTCTGTTCTCCGTCACTTTGCCCCACAACTTCATGCCATAGAAAAAATTCACGTCCTCCGATGTGCTTTCCTCGTCTTTGCCGTCGGCCATGGGAGTCACTCCGTGCGAATACGAGTGACCTAAATACCACGAAAAGTGACGGAACTTGGGGAAGTATTCGTCTTCCGAGCTCGGGTTAGCAACATCACGCAAAAGAGTCCACACCATGGCCTCGAGCTGCGCCATGCCCGACCACGTCGGATCCAGTTTCTTCAGAATTGCCGATGCCGTCACCCAGTACCCATAGTGGTAATGGTGGTCATTGTACACGCCGTTCCCAAACTCCACGCTAATGTCAATGGCGGCGAAAACCTGACTGGTTACGATACCTTTGTAGGCTGTATCATACACCAGCGGCATGCCCAGTGTGTTGTTAACGAAAGGACCGATGAGTGCTTCCAGTTTTGATATACAGCTCTTGAGCAACGTCGTGTCATCACCTGCCACCAAGCTATCAGCAGCAACCAGGCACAGTGACGCATATTTCTGGTACGCCTTGCCATTGTAATACCAGCTGCCGGTGTTCAGATCCCAATCGCTGGCAATGTCACTTTGCAAGGTAGAAAGAAGCTTAATTTTCGAGACCAAGTCAGCTGAAGGCTTCGTAGATGGGTAAAAGTCCACTTCTCCTTCCGCCTCAGGCTCTGACAAGGTCCAGCTCGACGATTTGGTCACTTGACCAACCATTTCGCCATGCGTGCTCGAGTGCAGCACGACAGCACCCTTACTCCGAGCTATCGTCGGACGATTCAGGACTTCCACTTGATGAGGTAGTGCAAAATGCAGCAGGCCTGTACTCTTGCACCCTCTGCCCTCCGTCTCCCACTCGAGTGAGTAGCTCGTGCGAGATTGCACTGACACTTCACCACCTCGAACGACGCACGACGCGAATTTGTCGTAAACACCCTGATCACTACTTTTAGGGAGAACCGCCAGTCGAATTGTGCCTGTGTAAGCAGCACTCGTCACCAGAGCTGATCCCGTCGATTCGATCGAGAACGGTGCACTGGTGTCGCTGACGAAAATCACCCACGTCTGCTTATTTGCCAGACGCACCACGTACTTGCCCGGCGTTGAGCTATCAACAAGTGTCATGACATGGTCAGACTCAATTCTCGGTGTCAGACCAGCATACGTCGCTGATACGAATGCCATGCCATGCACAAGAGCCGAGTCCATGCAACTTGTGCTACCCGACACGCACGTTCGAACGTTCACACCCATGTCGCTATAGGAGTACACTTCATAGTCCGGCTTTGTCGATCGGAACTCGTTTGCTGACAGGGTCATGTCGTTGTGGAATTCGTGCAGGTAGTACCTGATTACGCCGTCCACCTCATCGGCCGTTTGACGGTAAGTGTAAGAGTAGCATGCTTGAAGTCCAAAAGGTGCTTTCGTGGGTAACTTGAGCGCGTACGGATTGGACCACGCGGGGTCCCCGACGGCATCGGTAGTGACCACTGCTGCTGCTTTGTTGATAAGGTTGCCCCACCACTCGTTCGTAGGAATTGGTTTGCTCGAAAGGTTATTAGCTACGTTGATGATGGGGGCAAGTGCATCGAGTCCATCTTTGCGTTTGAAGAGCGTTTCGGAAGGTTCATCGGTCGCAAATGGTGACAGGATGTCGTTCTTTGATGCCGTTTCTGCATGAACTGTTCCTAGCTCATAAGAATCGCTATCGCTGGAGTCGATGAACTTCGTGCGTCCCATGCCAGATACGGTAGCTGATAATACTATTTGCCACCACATCGCAGACGTCATTTGCATTTGACGATCAGCGACTATCTGAGAATGAGGGAGCAGGTGAAATTCGTGCGTAAACTCGCAAGGCAGTCATGGCTGTGTACGATAACTTCGCATGGAAATTTTTGAGGGGGACAGACAGTAGACAGCAACCCACCTGTTCTATGGCGAGGGACCTGATCAATTATACCGCGTGACATGTAGCAGCAACGGGTACAGTATACCCAGCATGTTTATTCGACCGAGTGATGATGTATGCTCGAAAGTACAAAGCAGAGGCCGCAGGCTCAGACTTTCGGCTGACAATACGTGTATACCTGATCACATTTAATGACTAGTAAGTTTGCATGGGAAGTAGAGTATCCGAGTACTTTTCAATACTTGGGTGGAGTAGCACGAGCAAGCGGCCTAGGTTTCGGATTCTGACTGGCCGTCACCAGAGTTTTTGTACAGTACTAATGCGTTGAAGTAAAAGTGATTACGCACTTACGTCACTCTCGTTCCACTAACGGAGAACTGCGATCGGGACTTGCAGGCTGCACCGGCAACAGCTGTTGCGTTGCCTCAACCTCCTCTTTTTGCCTGCGAGCCAAGGTTTTCATGGGGCATGTTGAAAAACGAAGTGCTTAGTTTCACAAACCGAGCGTCCGCAAAAGTCAGCGCACATGCCACATACATGCATTTGCTTCACAACTTTCTCTCTCGACTCTCGATACCTCATGTGCATCGATGATATGTATTTTTGCTGTACGTCTACAAAAGAATCATGTTGAGGAACGCAAGATACATCTGGTCTGGGCGTGCTGAGCTGACGCACAGATTCTTTTCGTTCGCTAATCACAGGTCAGGATAAGCTGAATAAATTGGAGAATAAAAGGTTTGGTGCCTGCAAAGCCTACTTGCGTCGTTGTATTCGCGAAAGAGGCGCATGTTAACTATCCGATGAAATGATATGGGTGCACCGGGTGGGTTAACAGCACCAATTTAGTCAGCTGTACACCGTCAAATTCACAAGGATCGCTTTAGTTGTAATCTTATGCAGCTTAGCCACCGAGAGCAACCGCCAGTTGTTTCGGCCATCAGGCGCAGATGGTTTTGTTCTGCCACGCAGCACAATATGGGCGAAAGAATTCGGTGAGTAATCGCTGTCTCTGCTGACGTAGGTGTCAGGTTCAAGGCTCTGAGACAACATGTAAAGAGCAAAACCACGCTGGCCAATTTTGCGACACCGTGCTTGTGTGCATATATAGGGAACATACATGGTGCAGTTTTCGGTTCTCATCGTCTTAGCTCACAGCTCACAGCGAAAGAAGCGCACGACCCCTGGATAAGGGTTTGCCGCTACAACTTTCTTGCCGTAGAGGGCCTGTGTATCCCCACCCAGGTCGCCACGCAATGAAGGCGTCCATGGCAAAGGTGTGCAAGAACGCGGGGACTGAGTTGCTTCCCCGGCCACAGCTGCAGGCCCAAAATCTGGATCTGGGAGTCATTGAACTTTGGTGTCATCGGCAAACTGACGCAAACTTTCATTTACTTGCGTATGACATCGCACGACAACACTTTTTGTTGCCGTCTCATGTTGTACGTACTGCGACATCATGTCATTTATATACTGCGACACCCAGCCATTTGGTGTGTAGTCCTCTGCTAACCTTTGGTCGCGGTAGGAAAATTTCTAACAAGTTAGAAGGGTTCATTAGTTCGAGCTCGTATTCAATCTTGATTATCGGATGGATAAAGGTGGATTATCTTTTGGTCACGTCCATTTTTCGACATTTAAATGGGAGACTCCCTACGAACTGCAAAAACCGGGTCGATTAAAAATGCACCATATTGAAAATAATTGTAGATCTATTACGTCCAAAAGGCACAGTTTTTGATTTGTAATAGTCGCTGAGATATTTAAAGAAACGTGAGGTGTACTTTGCTTTTGGCCTGAAATTTTCGATAATACATTAACCGATTAAGACAAATGCTAAACGGCTGGATTCACTTCTCATCGGCGAGATTCACTTCTCATCGGCTGGGTCTATTTTTTTTGATAGAGGGCAAAATGTCATTTTAAAAACGCATGTTCTTAAATATCGTCAAATTACCAGTTCAATAGTGACTTTCGTTGACCCCCTCGCTAAAGCGATTCTCGAGATATATCTCGCATTACAAGTACAATGTAAAATTGGCTAGTAACTGCATTTCTGCAGTGTTGTATGGCCGTATCACTCTAGTTACGAGCCTGCTTAAGAGACATGCAGGGCAGTTGAAATGATGTCTAGCATATTGAGCCTATGGATTTGTAACGGGGTAGCCCGTTACATGATATTGACACCAAACGGTGTCAGTAGGAGATTGTCTGGTGTGATAATTTTCTGTAAATATTACCCGAGATGGAAAATATTGAAGGAACATCAGTCACCAAGATAGTATTCACGTGCTGCCCAAAGATTGGTTGATAAAGACATTTCAACCAAGGTTACCACCAGTCGGTGCCAGACGTGCGTAATGAGTGGTGAGCAGGTTGTCATCATACGACAATGTAGATCAATATAGTTCGATAAAGTCTGAAGTTATCTTGATATTTTAATTATATTCAATGTAGTTCTCTTTTTACCCTTTACTCAAACTAGCTGTTTGAGAAGATTAGCTTCCTCTACACACACTAGTGTACGTGAAGTTTTGCGGCACCCAAACAAAGGGTGCCCCGTTACATTAGAGTTTCCATTGACTGGATTTAGTGTTGAGCCTTAAGTGTAACGGGTAAAAAGAGGACTGTATTTGATATGGGTATGCTATCAACATAACTTCAGTCTTTATCGAACTATATTGATCTACATTGTCGTATGACGACAACCTGCTCACCACTCATTGCGCGCGTCTAGCAGCGATTGGTGGTAACCTTGGTTTGTATGTCTTTATCAACCAATCTTTGAGCAGCGCATGCATATTGTCCTACAAAAGGGATACTATTCCTTCAATATTATCCACCTCGGACAATATTGGTATGATACTGTCACACTGTACAATATCCCTATTGACACCGTTTGGTGTCAATAACATGTAACGGCTTCCCCGTTACATCACTCCCGTCCTTAACCATCAGTCACCTGTTGATTAAATTTAACTGATTGGGACAGGGTGACCATCGTTGGATCACTTTGGGAAAGGGAGCAATCGTTGGTCAAATTCTATTCGTTTGCCAATTCATAGCATGGTTTTGACCCTAAAGCGAATTGCTTCTGCAGCAGGTAGAAAAGCGGTTGAACGTATGCGTGCATTCGAAGAGAGTTCTTCTCTTGCTTCACCTGCTGTTTTCACTCAGCAACAGGCGGTGCCTGTTGTAAACAGTCCACGTGGTGAGTCATTACGTGCGACAGATACATCCGCTGTGCCTGCAGCGGGTACTGCGACTCGCAATGTAGATGAGCATGAAATAGAGCTCATCTATTTTGGCGAGTCAGATGATGTATTCGACTCGAAGTCGACACCTCACACCCCGGATCGCCCGGTGCGGAGACTACGAGGGACAGGTTGACTGGCTCTGGTCAAAGTGACGGCATGATGCTCGAGATCTTCGGATCGAGCAATTATCTTAACAAATTCTCGCCTCATGCAAGCCCATTAAACGATAGGAAGCGTGTTGATGGTGGTGACGCGCCTGTACTTCACCAAGTGCGAAGCAACTCGAGACATCGATTTGCCACTGGTGCAAATCGATCACCACTCAAGGGCCAGAACTCGCAATGTCCTGCGCCACGCCCCTTAAGTGGAGTCTCCTTGGATGCCGTCATCAAAAGAGTTGAACCGGTTGGCCGGCATGACTACCGAACGGGATCGAATCCCGTTGTTCGATTGTAGGTAGATTTGCCCACGTAATTCCAGCACGGAAACTATCCGTGCTGAGAAAGAGTTCTTGACCGATGTCATTTTCAAGCATCGGTGGTACAATGGCAACCGTGGTCGAGACGGCAAGGACTCAGTGCAAGGATGGAATGCTTTCATCCAGAACGTTGAGTGCATTGGCCGTGAGGCCTGTCTCGGTAAACTTGATACAGCTCGCATAAGGTTTGAGAAACGCAACCCAGTCAGGGCGCGATACAAATTGCACCGGCTTTCAAGAGGCAGGGTTAACCTATCTCTCGTGGGCTGATTCGTGTCCAGGTTACCTGGACAACTTGAACCGTTCCCCTAGGAAGGCCTACCTCCCTAATACTCCCTACTGGAGGGCGCGTATCTCTTCTGAGATGTCCGAAGGGATCGACACTTTGCAATTCCTGTACTCACGTTCGGGGAGGTCGTTTTCCGACGGCCCTTCTTCAAACGCAGCGGGTGGGTCTCGTCGCACTGCTCGACGATACTCAGGACATCAACAATCAGATGGGCACGAGGCTCCCAGCTGTCCCACGCCGGTGGATAGTCACGCCAGCGGACGAGGTAACTCGTCCGGACGCCATTCACATTTCGGGGGTTCAAAATATGCTCCACTAGGAAGCGTCGACCACCGTTTGAGTCCAGTAAAGGCTGTGGTGGCTGTGGGAATACCTGATCCGGCTTGAGGGTCGGATCAAGTTGATGTTTAAGAGCTGAACCGTCTAACGGAGCAGTTGCAAGATGACCCGGCTCATGAACGATCTCGGCGTTACGGTCTTGAGGATCTTGTGAGGGATAATTATGATTTCCTAACGCACGATCGTTCGAACGATTGTGCCGCGTTTGCGTTTGCGCAACTTGAGAACGAACGTTCGACTCGTTCTCTTCGTGACGAGCTGGCTGCAGCTCGTCAGGACATCGCTGAGCTACGTAAACAGGTTGCTTCGCTAGTCGACCAGCCTGGTTCGTTGAAGCAGGACCACTCGAAGGTGGTCTCGGCTCTCGACCGTGGAGTTGTTCTTTGCATCTCGAAACGGGCTCGTACTGATAGTACGGGCGGAGAATTCCAACGTAAAACGCAGGATGCGTGCGCATACTACGAGGTAGTTCAATAGTGTATGCGTTGCCCATACGGCGCAACACACGAAATGAACCGATGTACCTGGGCAGTAATTTGCTTCTGCCCACGTTTGTCACTGCGTTTTTTTGGTAGGTTTACTGTAAACAGTAAATTAGGTCTCCTTCATCTTATGAAAGAACATTTGTCGCGTTTCTCTTCTGTCTGTCTAGTGCATCTGCGATGGAGTCTTGAACGAAGCGGACAACCGCTTCGCGAGTCAGCAGAAATTCCTCTGCTGATCTATCCTTGTCAACAGCAGTGCGATTCATGTGCACCGATGAAAGAACGTTGTCTTCACCAGTGAGGACGTCATCGTCCTCTCTGTGGCAGTTGTTTGCGATACTAAATCTTCCAGCATCGTCGCCATCATCGTCATCGATATCGATGTGATCGACATCGGCATCCATCACGTCGACAACATTGTCGATGTGGGATGAGCAAGACTCAGATCGGTTTTTGTTGGAGCGAGCCCCCCTTAAGCTAGATTAACACTTAAAGAAGGCGGGTAGGCGAGGATGGCGTAGGCCATTCACGAAGAACGGTTTACGCGTTGTTGACGCGTGCACCGAGTTTTAGATTGCGAATTACGCAGTCGGCAAGAACCCACTACAACTCGTAAACGATTGGATATACCCTCGAAGTATCTCTTCGAGGACGCGGTTGACGCGTCCCGTCTGACCATATGTTTCTGGATGGTCAGAAGTCGACATCTTCAACCGTGTTCCAAGTGAATGGAGCACGTATTGCCCGAACTCCGCTGTGAAGCGGAGGTCCCTATCGGACACAAGTTTACGAATTGACCCGTGAAGTCGGAAGATAGTATCGATGAAGACACGAGCACAGCCCTGGGCTGTGATTGACTCCGGTACGGCAACAAGATGTACCATCTTGCTGAGCCAGTCAACAAACTCAAGAATACCAGTATTCTTGTGAGCGTATTTGGGAAACCAAAAGACGAAGTCCATCGATACGGACTGCCAACACTCTGCCGGAATATACAGAGGCTGTAAGGGTGCACGGGATGAAGGACTATGCTTCACTTGTTGACAAACTTCGCAAACGCGAATGAATTTCCGCACAAACACGTACTGGCTAGGCCAGTAGAAGTCACGACTCACCGTGAGGTAAGTATATTCTCTACCGCGATGCCCACTTGTTGTGGCATCGCGACACTCATACATGAGGCGCAGTTGCACACAATCATGAGCGGGAACGACGACACGAGGCGTGTCGTCGTTGACTGCTGTAAAGTACAGCAGTTCATCACGAATCGAGTACCGTTCGGTTGAAGAGCATTGTTGAGACGTCAAGCTTTTCAAAGCTTGACTGCATGGATTAGACACGTAATCCATCAATCGCAGAAGAGGCTCATCTTCTGCGTATGCTTTTCGCACATTGCCAAGCAAATTCGACGACGGAACACTCACTGATAGTGTTGCAACAAAGAAATCACCCCTACTGTTGTGTTAAGCAGTCGGCTTAAAATCAGGCCGACGCGAAAGAGCATCAGCGACGAATTCGGTCGTCCTGGTTTACACTCGACGGAGAGTTGTACTCCACGAAGAAAGACGGCCACCTCACCATTCATTGCGAGATGTGTGGACTGTTTACGGCCGTGCGTAACGATGCATGGTCGGTATAAACGATGAAGGTCCTATTTTCTTAGAGATATACCCGAAACTTAGCCAGTGTATATTTTATGGCAAGGAATTCCTTGTCATGCACCGGGAAGTTACGCTCAGCTGCTTGCAGCTGACGCGATTGATAACAGACGACGTGCTCAACGCCGTCTGAGTCGTACTGCATTAACGCGCAGCCGATTGCAAAATCTCTGGCGTCACAGACCACATGAAATGATCTGTCCTGGTCTGCAATCGCCAACACAGGCGATTGCACTAAGCTTTTCTTTGATGACTTCAAAAGAGTGCTGACACTCAGCTATCCATGACCACCTCTGGTTTTTCTTTAGTAGACGAGAGAGATGTAAGGTCATCTCGGCATAGTTGCGTGAGTATTTGTGCAAGTACGCCGCCAAGCCAAGGATTTTCTGAAGTCCCTTGACATCGACTGGCACAGGCCAGTTGCCAATCGCCTTGATATTTTCCGGATCAGGGCGTACGTCGTTTTTACCTACGATGCAGCCAAGAAGTGGTATTTCGTTCACTGCAAATATACACTTCTTGAGGTTCGCGAACAACTTATGCTCTCGCATAAGTGTAAGAACCTTCCGGACGTGGATTCGATGAACCTCTACGTCCGTCTTCCCATCCATAGCCCGACTATGGATGAATACCTCATTGAAATAACTCGGTGCGAATTCTCGTACTGGTCTCAACAGATGTGATACACATCTGTTAAACGTGGCAGGGGCATTACTAAGCCCTTGTGGCCATACTAGCCATTCCCAGAGCATGCCACTAGAAGTGCGCACTGCTGTGTACGGGATGTCCCGCTCACGCATGAGGATAAAAAAATCCGTCCGTCAGATCCATGGACGAAAAGATGGTACTCTTTGCCATACCATTTATGATGACTTCTCTCCTCGGTATCGGCGTTTGAGCCGGTACCGTTGCAGCATTCAATTTGTTAAAAGCGTGCACTATCCGCCACCCTCCTGTGGCCTTTCGCACACCGAAGGTCGGAGAGCAGTGTAGGGATGTTGATTCCCTCACATGTCAGCCGCTAAGCGATCGGCAAAGAATTTGTCGATCGCTATAACCTGTTCACGAGGCATTGGCCACTGCTTCATGACACAGTACTTCGAACCGGGTTTCAGTTCGATCTCATGCCAAGTGCCTTTGTCCTTAGGCAGCTCGTATGGCCCGAATTCATGAAAAACATCCCCGAATTTAACCAAATCCTTGTACAAAGGATTTTTTTTAAAGACTCCCAAGATTGAGACGTGTATCGCTCAATCCGGGTCTACTCAATGAGGACACCGTCGCCCGTCGATAAGCTACTGAGAACCCGTTCGTTCTCAGTAATTACTCGTGCCGACCGAATATCGGCGACGTACTCGTCCTCTGTGACGAGTACGCAGATCTGCTTGGTCTTGTCACTACGCAGATCTCGCAAGAATCTTTTATATTCTAGCGTTGGCAACTTGACCACCTCCGAATATGACTTCGGGGGCGTAACCAGATCAAGTGTATAAGAGCCTACACTTGATCCGTCATTCACCAAGACATTCACTGACTCGGTAATTTCATGGGAAAACACATCCGCAGGTGGTTGGGGATCCACACCCTCAACATAACTCTCTCGTGAGTTATTGCTCTCAGGAACGCCGAAAAATTCTTCAGTTATGTGTTGTTCTATCATGGTCACGTCCTCTTCGACCGACTCTCTTTTATTCGATCGGGCTTGCTCTACGATCGACTCTCTGTTGGTCGATCTTGCTTCAACGTGTTGTTCATCCTGAACAACGCCTATCTCTCTTCTCGAATGCACCCTTCTTGGTGTGCATCCGTGTTCCAAACTACTCAATCTCTTCGAGTGGTGAGCCTTCGGCGCAGCCCTGTGTCTCTACACCGATGCCGGAAGCTGGTTTCACAGTGTAGTGTCCTTCTGCACTGTGATCTTGTGCAGTCGTACCAACTACCGTACCACAAGTGAGGCCATCGAACTCACTCGTTGTACAACCACACGCTTGTGAACGCTCCAAGACGTTCATCAGATGGCCATCTAATGAACAAACGGCAGGAATCTTCACGGATCGATGCTGCCAGCTGATCCATGGCCGGTACTTTCTAAGCCATGGCAGACCAATGATGACACCAAATTGGTTATCCAAATCTATTACTATAAAGTCATCATCGTGTTGTTTTCCTTCTAGCGTGTAGTGGATTCCCACTACACGTTTGTTCACTGTTACGGATGCACCTGTTGCAAGGCACACCGTCATCCTCGTTGGAGGGAACTCTCGCTCAACATAGTTAAGCCTACCATCCTCTAGTGACTGGCATCGAATTATACTGTTTGATGCCCCACAGTCAACTAAGACGCGAAGTGGCATTCCACTTGTCACTTCGATCTTCAAAGTGATGAGGGACACCTCGTCACTTTGAAGCAGTAACACACGCGACTGTGTGTCGGAAGTAATCTTCGTCAAGCGTCCTGCATATTCTCTTGATGCTGCCGGATCCGCAGGGTGCTCCGCCCCTACTGACCCTGTCCGTTTTTTGACGGTCCGACGTACTGTCGCGGCTTAGCGACATGGTCGGACCCGCAACTAGGACCTTTCCTCGGCCAAAGGCGGTCATCACTTCCTGTCTTTGAACGTAATGCGGTGCTTGGGACACTACACGCATGAGCGTAGTGTCCGATCTTCTGACAGCGATGGCATCTTTCTGTTCGCTTGTGACTCAGAGAGCGAGAAATCTAGCTTTTTATTAAAGAGAGGTTCATTGGTTCCGGACCTCCTGTTTCATGTCGTCTCTTAGGACGATAGCTTGACGAGTTAGCCTGAGACTGTCTCAGGCTAAAGACCTCTTGCTCCGCATGCGCTATCGCCTTTTTCAGCGTACGGAAGTCCTCTCGGAACATGTAGGTCTTCACCGGTCCATCTACAAGACCGTAGATGAACACGTTGATGAGTGTGTACTCATCAACAGGTGTTTCCGTAACAATACTCGCAAGGTAGCGTAGATATTGTGCGTAAGCGTGCACGCCACGCTTACCTTGCTTTAGCTTTAAGAGTGCAGAGCGTGCTCTGGACTCTGCTCTCGGCGGCTCAAACGTCTCTTTAAGCCGATACTTCAAGATCTCCAACGACTCAAACACGTTTGGGTCGTGAAGCTTGAGCCCTAAGGCCCAAGTATTTGCTCTTCCTGTCAAATTTGACAGGGCGAAGGTGACTAGCACCTCGTCACTCTCGATGTGACGGGCCCAGATGGCGTCGGGTAACTCGACGAACCATCTCAAAAGGGAATCTTCATCGGTTCCCTTGTACCTTGAGACATCAATCTTCAAGGTTTCGGGTCGACGCGTGTGCGTCGGCCCGCCCATCTACTGATGAGAGTCTTGCTGGTGCAGCAAGGCTATCTTCTGTCTTTCGACAGCAAGTTCCCCTTGTAGGAACTTGTTGATAGCAGCATGTTGCCTGTGTCTGCTTAGAAACTCCAACATGCCACTGATGACGGATTCGCCCATGAGCACACTCATGCGGCCGACTATATCCCATTCTGAGATATTCAGATGGTAGTAACCCTCACGTGCGACGTGAAAGCTGTCTTCTTCTACGTCCAACATATTCATGTTGAACGGACACTAAGTAGTCGTTGAACGGACTACAAAGTGCTACCACGTGTAACGGGGTGCCCTTTTGCTTGTGGCGCCGCAAAACTTCACGTACACTAGTGTGTGCAGAGGAAGCTAATCTTCTCAAACAGCTAGTTTTAGTAAAGGGTAAAAAGAGGACTACATTGAATATAATTAAAATATCAAGATAAATTCAGATTTATTGAACTGCATTGATCTACATTGTTGTATGATGACAACCCGCTCACCACTCATTACGCACGTCTAGCACCGACTGGTGGTAACCTGGTTGAAATGTCTTTATCAACCAATCTTTGAGCAGCGCATGAATATTATCCTACAAAAGGGATACTATTCCTTCAATAATATCCACCTCGGACAATATTGGTATGATACTGTCACACTGTACAATATCACTATTGACACCGTTTGGTGTCAATATCATGTAATGGGCTACCAGCGGGAGATGCACGGCTGCGGGAGATTGGTGTTGCTCCCGCTACCGCCACAGTAGCCGAAGCTATGGTCGAGCAGAGGCTGTTCCACATTGCAACGAAAAATTACCCGCTTCACGATGACTCCTCTCTTCGACCGATGACCTCGGATGAACGGAGCGCGTTGAGTGCCTACGTGGAACGCCGTCTTGACCTCCCGGGCCCGCTTACCATACTCGTATGCACCACACCAGGTTTGCAAAGAGCCGCTATGATGGCTTATCACCAGTTTCAGGTCGAAGGGACGTTGATAGCTGACGTTCCGGCGAGGGCTCGGCTAGGCAAATTGCTCCACCGTCGGTCTATCCTACGCGAGATCAGTGCGGTCCATGCAAGGATTGAGGAAGACTGGATCAAGATGCGGCTTTTTGTCCAAGCAGCACAACGGGTAGTCTATGACGGCAACACACTTTATCATTTGTCTTCATGTCTAAGCGTGCAGCCGCCTTTTGGGCCAACACGGAGCTCAGACTACGTTATTGTACCATCACCTTGCGGTCGGCTGAAAACGACATCCCGGGAACACGAACGCTACCACAGGTTGCGAGACACTATGCTGTAAAATTACTTGGGACCGAGGGGTTAGATCCGATCTTGCTGCACACCGTATTTAGCCAGATCGCTGGAACCAGTATCTTGGATGTCCGACATCCTGGTGTTAAGGGGCTTGCGGAACACGATAATGATTACTGGATGGTTATCTTCCCCGGCATGGACTGTCCCTCTACACTTCTCAATGTCACTTCGCTAGTATTAGGTAAAAGAGTGATTACGATCCACAATTTCCAGCGTGTCGCCACGGCACCCTGTAGTCATTGATACAGCCCCGCACATCTACGGGCACGCTGTCGCGCCTCAGACGACCGATTGGTACCCCTGCGAGCGAGCTGGCAGCGCAAGTATGTAGGGGAGGCTATGTCATCTGTTTCCTCATTATTCAACACCTGTACAAACATTGATGATCTGGACCGGATATTAGGCGCCATCGCTTCCTCGACTGCTACGAGTGGAGTATCCGAAGCGCCTCAGGTACTGGAGACCATACCAGTACCAATTCAGGTAAACACAGGGCCATCTCATACTACTGGACGCTTGGTACATCGCGATGCTGCACCGGATGCGACTGGATTGTCTGTAGTAGGACGGGCACAGCGCCGACAGGGCACGAATCGTGATTCTGACAGACGTGGTCCTGTTTCGGCACACACCAGCGGAACAGTGAGACCGAATGGACGAGTGCTCCCACAGCGCGGTCGGTCGATACCTCCACAGCGGACCCAGAATGACTCCGCACGCCAATCAGATCATCATCTACGGAGAGGAATTAATCCGGGAGCTGTTTCTCCTAATCCGGCCCACGTCTCTTCTCTACGTGCTTCACTCGCAGAGAGTGCCATAAGTGTACAGGAGACACACACTGCCGACCAATCGCAGCCTATCCCACCCACATCGTTTAACGCTACCACACCGGTTCTTGGCGCGTCATCTGATACCGTTCTCACGCTACACCGTACCATCTACGAAGAGCTCGCGGAAAGCTCTGACGACGATGATGATTATTAGGACGACCGATTACCTCCCATCCGTCAGCCTCGAATGGCTGAACGTGAGGCACAGACAACTACGAGGGATGGCTTTGATGAGGACGTGGACATGGACGCTACTTTAACCCCGGTCTCATTTCCAGACTACGAAGACAATCTTCGTTTGGTTGCAGTAGACCATTCTGCACCTACGAGGCATTCCACGGACAAGCGCAGCATCTCGTCAGAACCCCATTCTACCCACCATTCTTGCTGGCCCCCTGTTCAGGCCACTACGGACCCTGGGATTGACGTGGACGATATTGTGATGGAGACACTAAATCCGACGATGCCTGGAGAAATCATCCTGGTGTCACGAGGTGGACCTATGAAGGGCGTGGTGCTGGATCACGGCGAGTTCCCCAGCCTGGTGTTGGAATGGATTGGAAGCCTGCATGGATTGCAGGTTGACACCCCTCTAATGGGCAGAGTCTCTACTCTGCTACCTTTGCCTCCACAACGAATGCCCAAGCTTCTACGTTTTATCCTTCAGTGTCCCAAACGCGGGATATCAATGCCAACAAGCAGCAGGTTACGGATCTTTTCTTGGCCAACATGCGGTACGATGTGCAATTGATGCTGATCGACCCTGCACATGAATTGGAACGCCTTAACCAGACTTCCACCTCCCCGGTTTCTGTGGAGGCTGCTACCGCTGCACTATATGCTCATTATGCGGCCTCGAGGGAGCAATGTGTAATCACGGCGCTTCCCAGCGCTTTCTAAAGTGAGACTGCCATTCTTCGTGCTCTTGCAATGTATTTGAGGGAGCCGATTTATGTATGGGGCGTGGACGAGACCGGCAATTGCTCCGCGTGACAGATTTCTTTCCAGACATTCGCGATGCCCAATGAGGACGACCACGAAACGGGCATCGTGCAGGTACTTGACGTTGAGCGAGTTCGTGTCATCCTCGAGGCTTGTTATAATAACAAGGTCATTCCAGTCATGCTGGTATTGAACCACACACAGAGAAAGTTTTATGGTGTGCAACATGGCGACATATTTAATGCCTGGAACGCGCTGCAGGGGCCTAATATGCGTGAGCGATTGAATATTAGTGCATCGACAGGTCGGATTACCTAAATTAGACTCTTCTCCCTATGAAGAGGATTCTTTGGCTGAAATAGCCCGGGCGGAAGAGGCTGCTATCTTGGAGGATTTAGGCCTTGACGTGTATGCCAGTAGATTTCATGTTACAAACGTAAATCCTACTGACAGTGGCTTGAGTGTTAAAAGATACGCGGCACATTCGACCCAGCTCCTACACTCGGCTGTAAATGAGCGAATTTTACAAACCCCTGACCCGGATCGGCTGTCTGTTTCTGATCGCTTTCAAGCTAAACGGCTGACCAAGGCGAACCAAGCGGCCTTCACCACCTGGTTGTATACCTTTGGACCAAATTTTAGTGTGCCACCACACCATCCTGGAAATGGCACTTGGAACGACTATCAAGATTGGATGCTGGTACACGTGCATGCACTGAGGCATGTACTACGATTCTTGCCTTTACCGGAGATGGCTGTTCAAGCGGCCCCCGCTGATTGGGTTTTGGCTTGGGGGGAACACGAAGTGTACCAGCACCGACTAGACACGCTCCGACGCATCGCCGATGACTGCGACAGCGATGCCAGGGCCCGCGCTCACTGCCTAACGTGGCTAAATGAGTGCTCGACGGCGCAGTCGGTCGAAGCGTATGCTTTAGCGAGCTCTCACGACCATGGGTCGACTTAGGGCGCTACGTCGACTCTTCACTACTCCGCCCCAACCCGCCTGGTATTCCTGTCACTGATTGGTACCTCATCCATATCCTACCGTTTGCTGTCAAGGATCAGAAGTACACCATCATGTGTCGGGCTCCTGGAGCCGCGAGCGCAATCTGGTATTTACACTTTCCAGCAATAGTGGAGCTGTGCCAAGCGATCACGACCTCATCTGATTGGAGCAAGGTACTGAAGCTCCCGCTTGGAACGGCCGCGTGTCGCTTTACGCATGGATTAGCGTCTGCAGTAGCCGCAGACGCTTCTCATGTGCCGCGTAAATAAACGTGGCCCAGCTGAATTCCGTCAGGAAGGGGGTGAGAAGCCCTCCTTGTTTGAGTTTTACCCGGTTCTTTCTTCTCAGGACCGGATGCACACCCTTCGATCCGATTTTGACATTTTTCGCGCTGCTCGGCGGAAAGATCGGCGCCGTAGGGAACGTGAGGACTTTCAACTCGTCCGCGCTCATCGACGAATGGAGATTCTACACCCGGCCGACCGGATTATGGCCCTGCTGTAACGGGGTGAATCGTTACATAACAATTTATAAGAAATTGTTAATAGAATATAACTATAAGAGTTATATTCTCAGAATATTGTCATAAGGACAATATTCTGTAGCACTTCCAAGTAGTTCCTAATTGGTTGATATAGGCCATTATATCAACCAACGAAGACGCGCCACGACAGACGCACGCAATGAGTGGTGAGCAGATAACTGATTTACACATTTGTATTTAGACATAGTTAGATGAAGATAAATAGTGATTTATTGCAGACATTAACTATTATAAATACAGTTCTACTTTTTACTCTAACCGAGTACTCGCTTCTTCTTACCGTCTTCCTCTGCACGTACGAGTGTACGTGAAGTTACGAGGCACCGCCTTATTCTGTTATCAGAATAAGTAGCTTGTACTGTCACCAGTACAAGCTTCAGGGTGCCCCGTTACACCTGGTAGCACTTCGTAGTCCGTCCAAGGACCGCGTTCACATCCAACATGAATATGTTGGATGATGAAGATGACCAAAGCTTTCACGCTACGCGTGACGGCTACTCCCATTTGAGCGATGTCGAATGGGATGCGGTTGAACGAATGGGTTCGACCATGGGCATCCATGCTGTTAGCGTCATGCTAGAGGCTCTCAATAGAGATGCCCAACATGCTACTATCGCCAAGTTCATTCAAAATGAACTTGACGCAGAACGCGAGAAAGTAGCCTTGCTTCACCAACAAGGTTCTCAACAAGCAGAGTTGTTGAGAGAACAAGGTGCTCAACAGTTTGAACTGTTGAGACAGCAGCAAGCTGCTGCTGGCGGGTCGATGCACTCGCGTCGACCCGAGACTTTGAAGATTGACATCTCAAAGTATAGGGGGTCGAAGAAGACTCCCTCTTGAGATGGTTCGTCGAATTGGATGACGCCATAAGGGCGCGTCGCATCGACGACGGGGATATGCAAGTTGCATTTGCCCAGTCAAATCTGGCAGGACGTGCCAAGACTTGGGCACTGGGGCTCAAGCTGCACGACCCATATGCGTTTGGGTCGTTGGAAGTCTTCAAGTCGCGGCTCAGACAAACGTTTGAACCGCCTAGAGCTGAGTTCAGAGCTCGAACCGAACTCTTGAAGCTCAAGCAGGGTAAGCGTGATGTGCACGCTTACGCTCAACATATACGACATCTCACGAGTTGTATAAGTTCCAATCCGGTGGATGAACACACGTTGGTTTCGGTGTTCATGCAGGGTCTTGCGGATGGTCCCGTCAAGACTCACCTGTTCCGGCTTGAACTAGATTCACTAGAACAAGCCATTTCAATTGCGGAGCAGGAAGACTTCAGTCTGAGACAGGCTCGCGCCAGCTCGACATCATATCGTCAACCGAGACGATATGACAACGGAGGTCCAGAGCCGATGGAACTCTGTTATGTAGAGAGCGAGAAGGCTCGCTCTACAGGCTACAAGAAGTTGCAGAGATGCAACAGATGTCAAAAGACAGGACACTACGCTTACGAGTGTAGTGCCCCTCGTCCAGTGTCTCGCGACACTGGGCGTAGTGACCGTCCACCCATGAGAAAGGGGCAGGGACGAGGGTCCGCAGTTGGTGCAAAGACGCAACAACGGGATGGACCGTCAAAAAACGGACAGGATCAGTAGGTGCGGAGCACCCTACTGATCCAGCAACGTCAAGAGAATTTGTAGGCCTCTTGACGAAGGTTGCTCCCAACACACAGACATTGTGCGTTGCTGCTCTAGGTAATGAGATCTCACTCATTACCTTGAAACTCGAAGTGACGAATAAGTTGTCCCTTCGAGCTCTAGTCGATTGTGGGGCGTCCAACAATTTTGTGCGACGCCAATCGCTAGAAGATGGTCACTTTAAATTCAGTGAATGTGACACACCTCCTACGAGGATGACGGTACGCCTTGCGACAGGCGCATCCGTAACCGTCATGAAGCGTATAGTGAAGATTCACTATACGCTAGAAGATACCCAATATGACGATGACTTTATCGTATTGGATTTGGATGACAAATTAGATGTCATCCTTGGAATACCGTGGCTCAGAAGGTACGAACCACGGGTAAACTGGCAACATCGGACAGTAACGATGCCTGCCGCTTGTTCATCAGATGGCCATCTGATGAACGTTTTGGAGCGTCCACAAGCGTGTGGATGTACTACGAGTGAGTGCGATGGCCTCACTTGTGGTACGGTCGTTAGTACGACTGCACAAAACCTTAGTGTACCAAACGGTTACACTTCGGAGCAAAGTTCCGGCGGCTGTGAGGAAACACAGGCTGCGCCGAAGGTCCACCACTCGAATAAGTCGGGTGGACTGGGACAAAGATGTATCCCTAGAGGGGAACATCTAGAAGAGAAACAATCGATCGCTCAGGTTAAGCGAAACGATAATCCTAGATCGACTGGAGAGTCTTTCGTAGAGGATCTCGCTGTGGTTGCGCAACCCCAGCTAGAGGAAGTAAAGGGAATAAGTCCCAAGATTACAAATACGGCGGAAATAAGTTCCCCGAAACCCGCGGGAATAAGTCCCCGGGAAGACGAAGGAATAAGTCCTTCGAAGCCTGAGGGAATAAGTCCCCAGGAAATGACAGAGACATTGAATGTCATAGTCAATAACGGATCATGTGTAGGCGCTTATACACTTGATCTGATTGCGCCTCCGAAGTTAACTTCGGAGATCACTCAGTTGCCAACGCTCGAACATAAAAGGTTCTTGCGTGATCTGCGTAGTGGCAAAGTCAAGCAGATCTGCATACTCGTCGCTGACGACGAGTGTGTAACCGACATAAGGTCAGCAACAGTGTTTACTGAGAACGAGAGAGTTCTCAGTAGTTCATCTATGGACGAGAGTGTCCTAGATGAAAAGACACGAATTGAGCGATATGAGTCCCAATCATGGGAATCGCTCAAGGAAAATCCTCTCTATGAAGATTTGGTTGAATTCAAGGATGTATTCCCTGAAACTGTTCCGTGCGAATTACCGAAGGATAAAGGTATTCGACACGAAGTCGAGCTTAAACCAGGCTCGAAGTACTGTGTCATGAAGCAGTGGCCACTGCCTCGTGAACAAGTACTTGCGATCGACAAGTTCTTTGCCGATCGTTTAGCAGCGGGCCATGTGAGGGAATCAACTTCCCCACATAGCTCTCCGACCTTCTGTGTGCGAAAAGCAACAGGAGGGTGGCGGATAGTGCACGCGTTTAACAAATTGAACGCTGCAACGGTACCGGCTCAGACGCCGATACCGAGGAAGGACGTAATTATTGATGGTATGTCAAAGAGTACCATCTTTTCGTCCATGGATTTGATGGATGGCTTCTATCAAATCCTAATGCGGGAACGGGATATACCCTATACCGCAGTTAGCACGCCTAGCGGCATGCTCTGGGAATGGCTAGTAATGCCACAAGGGCTCAGTAATGCCCCTGCCACGTTCAACAGGTGTGTATCACATCTGTTGAGGCCAGTACGAGAATTCGCGCCGAGTTATTTCGATGACGTATTCATCCATAGTCGAGCTATGGATGGAAAGTCGGACGTTGAGGTTCACAAGTACCACGTCCGACAAGTTCTTACAATCATGCGAAAGCATCAATTGTATGCAAACCTCAAGAAGTGTATATTTGCAGCAAGCGAAATACCACTTCTTGGGTGCATCGTTGGTAAGAACGGTGTACGTCCTGATCCCGAAAAGATCAAGGCGATCACCGACTGGCCCGTGCCGGTCGATGTCAAAGGTCTTCGAAAATTCCTTGAGCTAGCGGCGTATTTGCATAAGTATTCACGCAATTACGCCGAGATGACTGTGCACCTCTCTCGTTTGTTGAAAAAGAACGAGAGGTGGTTATGGAACGCTGAATGTCAACGCTCCTTTGAGGGTATCAAGCAGAGCTTGATACAATCCCCAGTCCTAGCAATAGCCGATCAGGACAGGCCATTTCATGTGGTCTGTGATGCCAGCGATTTCGCAATCGGCTGTGCATTAATGCAGTACGACCTTGAAGGCGTTGAACGCGTCGTCTGCTATCAGTCGCGTCAGCTGCAACCAGCTGAGCGGAACTATCCAGTGCATGACAAGGAACTCCTTGCCATGAAGTATGCACTCGCGAAGTTCAGAGTCTATCTATTAGGAGATAGACCCTTCGTTGTTTACACTGACCATGCGTCCTTACGCACGGCAGTGAACAGCCCGCACCTTTCACAACGAATGGCGCGGTGGTTGTCATTCTTTGCAGAATACAACTTTACGGTCGAGTACAAACCAGGACGACTTAATGTCGTCGCTGATGCACTCTCACGTCGTCCCGACTTTGAAACAGTCGCGAAACCCAACAGTGAGACAGTCACTGTTGCGGTTATGACGTCCTCAGTTCCATCTACAACGTTGTATGATGATGTGAGGCGGGCATACGCCCAAGATGGTGAGATAGTGAAGTTGTTGTCACATCTCTCCCAACCATCCCGAGAATCGTTGAAACGATTGTCGTCTGCGTATCGATCTGCATCAGATCGATACACTACTCGTAACGGTTTACTGTATTATACAGCCGTTTCTGGTGACACACCACGTGTTGTCATTCCAGATGATACTGATCTGCGTTTGCGGATCATGTTCGAGTATCACGATGCTCCTATAGGAGGACATCGTGGCCGAGAGAAAACATATCTCACGGTAAGTCGAGACTTTTACTGGCCCCGCCAGTATCAGTTTGTGCGAAAGTATGTTCGCGCATGCAAAGTCTGCCAACGAGTGAAGTCAAGTCCTTCACTGCGTGCACCTTTACAGCCTCTACCGGTTCCGGCTGAGTGCTGGGAATCCATCTCAATGGATTTCGTCTTCGGGTTACCCAAAGACGCACGCGGGAATACGGGTATTCTCGTATTTGTTGACAGATTCAGCAAAATGGTACACCTTGTGGCTGTACCAGAGACAATCACGGCAAGTGGCTGTGCTTGTGTCTTTATTGACACCATCTTCCGACTTCATGGGTTGCCC